AAAGAGTGTTGATAATCTATTGTGCCAACTTAAGTACACCAAGAATATCCTATACAAAGTGACTGGTTCCATATAAAATATGCATACCTGGTTAGCATGAAGCTAGATAAGACGAAAAGTTGTGTCTATGATTTTCATTTATTTATTTGCTATTACAGTAAGCAATGCAATGAGCTCCAGAGCAATTCATAAGGCCTTACTTGAATCAGCAGCACTAGTGGCTGCCAGCGTCCTCCAAGTTTATCTTCTTCGTTGCCTCTTTGAGAGAAAGCTTGCAATATAGAAAGTCCAGTATCAACTGCCACTATCTGTACTTTGATTTTGTAGCATAATCTTGTTAGTCCACTAAATGTTGTTGACCATTACAGGTTACATTGCACACATAGGAAACACCTGATTGAAGATTATTTAGCAGCTCCGCTCTTCTTTTTCAGGCACATGGACATATATTCTTCTCTTATTCATCTTATATAAAGTCATATTAACATTTGCTGTCTCCGAGCTTAATAGCTGAGTCCTCTTAAATTTCCCAGGAAAAGTGGACGAAATACATGATAAAAAATAGTCAACAGAATTCTTTGAAATTTCTGCAGAACTTTGAACCACAAAATGAATAAATAATTTCTGCAGAACTTGAAGAATACAAATGTTTCTCAATTTTTCCATTTCGAGTCACCAAGTTACATTAAAAATATTGGAAGCTTGATGACCTGGGAGAGTTTATTTATAATCTAGATTTAAATAAAGGCAACGATGCTACAACATACGAACAATTGTCACATAAATTTTAAAACCACCAAAGCCCTACCTCTAAACTAGAACCAGCAAGTACACTTATTTTCATACAAATTGGAAAATTAATGGATTCCCCTTTTCTACAAAAACACCAATTTTTCACAGCACATTTCTTAGCTCGACTTACAAGCAAGGCGATACTGGCAAGATAAATATTTATTAGGAATTTTTTTATCCAACATGTCTTCTTCATGAACAAAATTAAACAAACATTTATCTAATTCCTCATTTTTTGTTCTTTTCCACCTTAAAAGATAGAGTTTGAACTGGAAAAGAACAGCTATTGGCAAGCCAAGGACCAAACTTGATGGGGGCAACGAAATCAAAGGAATAAAAGGAGTTCATTAAATAGGATTTGTTTGATAATACAAGTAATACAATGTGACAAGCAACGCTTTAGCTCATAGCGCACGACAAGGCAAAATAGGAAGCAACCCTGACTCCTAATAATAAACCACAACATTGATACACACACATAAATAATAGTCTGTCTTCTTTCCCTTCCCCCATTGCAGCTCACTTTTACAGCACATAATATAAATTCCGTAGAATTCGCTTATGGCACTACAGCTCTTATCTTTGAGAAAATACTGTGAAGCTAGTTACACAAACACTGTTCTTCTGTTCAGGCTTTTCACAGGGGCAACCATTGTTATGATTCGGCAGGAGGGTTTTGCATGCAGCAAAACCATTTTTTCTGAAACCAAGTAAAATCATTCATAAGGAGAAAATGGGAAATATATACACAATACACTGAATTAATTTGAAAGCTCCACATCTATTTAAAATAATTACATCTCAAACTGACAATCTAAATCCTACAAAATCCAATGCAAACCACATTCTCTCTGAGAAATATGGACAGAAAAGATAATTCATTTCAAAGGTTCACAAAATTATCAGTGCTAGGTTGGCCAAACATAGACCAAACTTATTAGTGCAAATCAAATCAAATCAAATAGAAAATAGACCTATCTTTTCCTCGTTTGTTTTGTATTTGGACTTTTAACTTCATCTTAGTCACGGTTTAATACTATAAGGAGCAAATGTATCTTAAGCAAGAGTGAATACTAGTTATGACTGTGAGGGGAAGAAAACTTGGGTTATACTTTACAAACTATAAATCATGGTTTGAATCATCCAAGAATTAGTAGACCAAAGCTTCTTTTTCTTAGCAGATGGGGAAGAAAACTCAGCAGAGGTTTTAATTTACACAGTATAAATCATGGTTCTCTCAATACATCTTCAATTTAGTAGGTCAAAACTTTGTACTAGTCTAGCATATCGTGCCAACATATATCAAGTTGCTTAAAATGTCATCCAATCGTTTCTCAATTCATGCAAAAAAGCCCAGGCATGAATCTGACACTTGTGGTGCACACACATCAGAATCAACATTTTTGTAAAGATAAAAACTCTTCGTCACATGGACAAAAGTATGTCACTTTTAGATTATAAATAAAAACAGCAGCACGTGTTTGGTACTTGGGTTAGCGAGATGTAATCAAGAATAACATACAGTCTGAGTTTTGCCAGGATCTACTGCAGGTTTGCTATGAGGATCAGCGGCAGTCTTTGCAGGAGACTCAGGATTGCCACCTGTCTTTTTCTCATCCCTAGCCTTGTTAAAAATCACTGTGAACCCCTCAGCTGAGGCTGGATCATTGACGTCCCATTCACCAAATTTTGGTAGTGGCCGACCCTTTTCCTGTGGGATAATTAGATTAGCCAATGCAGAATAAAGACTAAATATTTTATAAATAATTCCATAACATTCTTCCAAACTTGATAATTACAAACTGGAAAGAGAGGATAGATGATGACATAATAGATTTTCTACATACTAAAAAGTTCGTTAAATGTCTTGATAATAATGTTTAATGCCTATTATACATAGAAGAATGAAGACCAAACATAACATGGAAAGACAGTTAAATTTGATTAAATGCCATCACTGCTGTTAGTATAGAATTAGAATCCAAACCTTTACAATCATAGACATGCTATTTGAATTATTCTGGGGTTACGTCTATTTTTTTCCATATTTTTATTCAATCTCTAGAAAGAGGCATGTCTCTAATTGCGAACCCCCTTTGCTTATCCATACATCACTCTCGCAAAGGTGAAGTTGTCTTGATATAACAAATTTACATATGATTTGCCACACATTCACAAAGCATACAAAGTTCTTTCTATTTTTATTTTATTATTCCCCTACTGAAACAAGTAGTGGTTCATTTGTTGTCCAGTAGTTTAACAGCTATGATTTAGACTTTGGTATCTAAGGAAAATGTTGGATTTGTACTCCTGCTAGTTTCGAAACTGGAACAACTTCTATATTCTATACCATTTTAAATATCATGGGAAGAAATAACAAGATAAGGCTCTGTGCCTTTGTATGATTTAGGCAGTTATTTAGTTAGCGTTCTTGTTTCCTTTACACATTGTTTTCAAGTCATTTACTTTCCTATTTTACATTTCTAATAAAATTCGGTAACTCTCTTTAAAAAAATTGCACTACTCGAGTTGATTAAGCAACAAGAACTAGGTTCAAATATCATAAATAAAATAGAAGAGAAAAAAAAAATCATGAGGCAGTAATTCAGAAAAGGGCAGGTTGTACCCCAATTTGGTAATTTCACACCACACAAGGGAAAAAAGAAAAAAAAAGGAAACCAAACTACAAAATATAACATAACTGATCTACAAGCACCTCCAATACTAATAACAGCCTTAACGATACAGAAGTTACTAGAAAAGAGAACAATCCAATCAGCGAAAGCACACAGTCATCCAAAAATAGAAAAAGAATCCTTCAATTAAATTGCGTAACAAAGCTGACTTCGATTAACAACACAATTTACAGCACAACCAAAACATGAACTATCAACATCTAAATAATTTAACAAACAAACATGCTAAATAGCAGCAACACCCTAAGACTATTCTATGCTTTCACACACAACATTTGAGGATCGAATCAAAAAGGCGCACAAGCTCTATTAAGGAACGAAATATTTTATAGAAAAACAAAATAACATAATCAGTAGAAACCGAAAACATGAACATAAAACTCAAATAATCAAATAAGAATCCCAGCACCAAAATCCAGATAAAAAAAAAAAAAAAAAAAACTCGAGACGAACAAATCAAAATTATCGCGAGAAAAAAATAGGTTAAATAAACAACAACACAACAAAAATCAGAAACGCGAATCAGTGATAGGCGAATCGCATACAACAGCTCAATACAATGATCAGCAAAAAAATCGAATCAATTGGTAAAATACAAATCGTTAAAAAAAAAAAAAGAACAAAAAAAGAGAGAGAGAAAAATCACATACCGACATCAATACGAAGGAGAAAACGTTTTCAGGGAAAAGAAAAGGAGCGAGAAAACTCAAATTAATAAAAGGAATCGGAAAGCGAAGAAAAATTCTGAGAGAGAAAAAGAGTTTAGAGAGAGAGAGAGAGAGAGAGAGTTTGTTTGTTTTAGAGAGAAAAAGTGCGTGATGACGATGAAGAAGAGTAGTAGTAGATGACCTTGTTGTGACTTGGATTTGGGCCGAAAATGGGCCTTACGGAAATTGTAACGGGATTCGTTGAGCGTCGTTACGTGTTCCGCGGGGACGGAGCAGTGAGGCGTTAGACTTAGCGTCAGGCGTGACGTGGAGTGGGAGGTGCGTGCGGGATGGTTCGGGCAAAGTAACGGAACGGTGAGCTGGCAAACGGTGACGGCGTGAAGCGCCGTTGGCTTTTTTTTCTCGATTATATGGGTTTCTTGGAAGGGAGCGTCTGGGTTCTGAGTTGGTCACTTTTTTGATGAGCGTATAAAGGTACTTTTTTATGAAGCAAATTAGTATAGGAGAAAGTGATGCTTCTTCATTAATTTTTATGAGTGTATTTGAATTTAAGGCAATGTTGTGTTATCTTATCATAAGAAACCAGCTTAAATAACTTTAATTATAATGATTACATTCTTTCTAATTTTATTATTTCTACCCATTATCCTGCTATTACTGTATGAATACTACAAGTAACAATTATATGATTCAGAGGAGTATGCGTATGGTTATAATTTAAGTGTGTAATCTATGTTATTGTAAATATATATACAACTTAAATTTTTTATGTATTTACTTTTTACTATCATAAAATATTTTTATAAATGTATTTAATAGAAATTCAGTGGAAAATGATTTGGCAGTAAAGTAAACTCATAAAATATTTGGTTAAATGTTAATCAATTTTATATATTAAATAATTTTTTAGAGATTATACTTTGATGATAGTGTTTTCAAATATTTTTTAATCTTTTATTTAATTTATTTTTATTTATCATATTTATTTATAAATTAAATTTTAATATTTTTAAAATAAATTATCAATAATTTCTACAATATAAATTACCTATTTTAACTTTAAGATATAATTTATATGTTTAAAAATATCTATTTATATAAATTTTATATATTTTATTAATGCAATTTTTATCTCAAGTTTATTTATTTTATTGACACAAAGTTAACGAGCTAATAAATAAATTGCGGTCAAATTAATTTTAAATTTGTCCCATTTTTCTAATAATGAACTAAATTATAAGTTTTGGTCTTTTATTTTATTTATAAAATTTATTTTGGCCTTTTTATTATTTACTGTTCATTTTGATTTTTTATCTTCTAAATTTGGTATAATTATTTCTTTTAAAATAATAATTATTTTTAATTTTGAGACACAAATTTAAATCATTTTTATCTAGCTCAAAAATTGAAACTTCCCCTATTAAATTCACTTATATAAAAGTTATTTAATACAACTAAAGTTCAAATAAAAAAGTATAAAAAACATGATGAAAATGACATAAAATAAGTTTATAAGACAACTAATTTTTTAAAAAAAAATCTAATTTCATATTATTTTATAATGATTTGTGAAATATATTTTTCATACAATTTTCATGATGTTTATAGCTTTATTAGATTAAATCCTCAATTGAATTTCATAATTTTCATTAGAGCTGTCAAAACGGGCCAGCCTGGCCCATGTGGGCCAACCCACCTTTACCCACTTTAAAAGAGAGCCAACTCAACCTGGTCCACTTTTGATTTTCTAAAAAAAATTGGTCTGGCCCGGCCCACCAAGGTTGGTGGGTTATACAGGCCAGGCCACCAAAAATTAAAAAAAATTATCAACAAAATTCAAAATTTTAAATTAATTATAAATTAACATAGTAGTCATAAAATTAGTATCATTAATAGTTATAAGTCATAACTCATCTTACAAAATTAAATACAAATCATGATAAAAGTCCAAAATAAAAATTTTCAATATCCCATAATACAAAATTAACTACAAATCATACTTAAATTTTTATTGCAAAAAAAAATGGTAGGTTGGTGGGCTACCCGGCCCACCACGGGTTCAACCCGGGTGGGCCGGGTCAAAGTGGACCGAGTTGAGATATACCCACCTACTATAAAACTTCAATTTTTTTTGTCCGACCTGGCCCGTTTTCAAGGTGGGTCGGTTGGCCTACGGGCCCCAACCCATTTTGACGCTCTAATTCTCATATAACTGAATATAATATTACAAGTTTCAAGTCTTGAATTAATAAAAAGAAATAGTTTAAAATTATGAAAAACAATTAAAAAATTATAAAAATAAGGCGATTCATTAATGACCCAATCCTCCTTTTATAGAAAAAAAAAAAAAGCAATTAAGGCAGAAGAAACAAAAAAAGATTTAAAAGAAATTACTCTGTCGCTTTCTTTTATTCTAAGCATCCCAACTGGATCCAATTCATCCGGGCCGATCCAGCAAATTGTGAGCCCAAGCATAAATGACACTAACACGAAAACGACGCCGTCAAGATATTCGCTTTCCAACTATCTTGTTCGCTATCCCTCTTCTAAACCCCGTCCAAAAAATGCAGCACAAACGATGAAACCTCTCAAACTTCCTTCTCCGGCACTCTCACGTGCGCTCGCACGTGCCCTCAGCTCCGCCACCTCCACCACCACCACAACCACGCAATGCGGATCCGCGTTTCCGTTGAAGACGGTAACCACCGCGAACTTCGAACCCTCGCTGGCGGAGCTCCGGCGCCACGTGCGGTCGTCGGACTTCGTGGCCATCGACCTCGAGATGACCGGCGTGACCAGCGCTCCCTGGCGCGATTCCTTCAAGTTCGACCGCTCCGACGTGCGCTACCTCAAGGTCCGAGACTCCGCCACCAAGTTCGCCGTCGTTCAGTTCGGTGTTTGCCCCTTCCGTTGGGATCCCTCCTCCCGCTCCTTCGTTGCGTATCCGTATGAATGTTCTTTCTCTATTTCGATGTCGATTATCCGCGAACACTGTCAATTTAATCTCTCAAGTTCTCAACATACGAAAACGTCATTTTAGTGGCTCTAGTTATTAAACAATGATAATTTGAATGAGATGTCATATTTTGTATAATCAGGAGCTAATTTTATCAATACTCTATGTATGGTTTAGTCTTAGGAGTGTGTGTGTTTTTCAATTGGATTGAATTTTATTGGTGTTAACTGTTAAGTCAACTTTAATTTGTATGGAAAGTTGCATGGTGTTCTAAGCAATTTTAATGCTGGATGGACGGTGTCCTGAAGCCATTCTTTTGAATTTGTAGATTTTTGCTACTGAAATGGGAGTGATTACTGATTAGTGTCGACATTGCAGTTTTTTACCAGTTTGGCAATGCAGTGTGGTTATGAAGTTACCGGGTTGGTTTTTATAATGTAATGTTTACCGGGATTTATAGAATGGAAGGCTACAACTTTAGAAGGAAAAATGAAATAAGTTTTTTATAAGCTTAAATTTACTTATGCATAAACTAATTTGTAGAAGCTCTCTCCTATTAACTTCTCCAAAAGCTTATTTTTAACTTATGCAGCTAGTTTTATCTTGTGGAAAATTTCTTTTGATTTTTCTTCTTAATTGAATTCTTTCAAAAGCTGTTTTGATGGAGTTTCTATCACCATGCTAAAGCTGAAGCTAATATCAGAGACTTATGTTGACATATAACCCTGCATCACACAGTGGTCCTTCCCTATATTGGACCAAAGGGTTGTAACCGACCCTCAGACCTAACATCGTGCAAATACAGTTTACTAGGATCTGAGCATTTTTCTTTTTCTTTTCATTTTTCTTTTTTGGGGGGTCTTTCTGCTTCAGATTTCCTTGATAGTTTGGTTCTGATTACTATTGCTGCTGGAAATGATTTCATTTTATTCATCTCTCTTTCCTTTATTTTCGTTTTTTGCTTGATGAATGTTCTACCGGTGTTCTAAGATAGAAATTTTCTCTTGGCAGATACAATTTCTATGTTTTTCCACGTCAGGAGCATGCAGGGTTGGGTCCATGTGATGAATTTTTGTGCCAGACCACTTCAATGGATTTCCTGGCTAAATATCAGTTTGATTTTAATGTTTGCATACATGAAGGTTGCTTGCTTTTCCTTTTATTTCTTGTCGTTGTCTTTTCGTATTAACTGTTAAGCTGATTAGCTAATTAATAGAAGAAAGGAGTTTGTGGAGTAACATCCAGTATAAAAAGGTCCTAGCCACAGTAACCGGGATTACCTTGCAATTGCATGCTTTATTTCTATCCAAGGGAAAACTAAGATGTGGATGCTTCACTTTGGGGTTTATAACTTAGATGTTTGAGTGGTTCAACAGAAAAAAAAAAATTTATATATATATATATATACACAAACACACACACACACACACGCACACTCACACACATAGTACTTGCTGTACTTCACTTTGGAAGGGCTCTACATGATTTTTAGGGTTGTAGGAAATTAGAAAATTATGGGGTCATTAAAGATGCTGATGGTCTATGATCTTTAACCAGTAATAGTTTGAATTTTTGGGGACATTTTGGTGTTCGTTTATTTATCTTTCAAGTCTGTCATTGACTCATAGGACTGGTATTCTGTTGTATGTATAACTTCATCATGACTTTTATGATTTCTTTATCTTGAGAAGTTGCACACTTGGTAATGTCAGGAATATCTTATTTATCCAGAAAACAAGAAAGAGAAGCATTAAGGGACGTTTTAAAGTTCAAAGATATTAGGGACATACCATTGGTAACCATGACAGACATTTTGTTCACTGCACGAATGAAACAGAAATTTAGTGAATGGCGTGATGGGTTATTACACGAGCAAAATCAAGAACAAATTCAAGAAGTTTCAAAAGACCCAAAATTTCAAGTGATTTTCTTTGAGATGCATCCAGCTCTTAGGCTTAATGGATTCACCTCTCACCAACTTAAATTGATTCAGTTGGTAACGTTTCTATATTTTGTACCCTCAACGTATATGTTCACATTTTGTTTCACATATTGCACATATATTAAGTTTGTGCTGTGTTTTGATGATTATTAGCCTAAAAAATTTCAGGTCATCAGGAAACACTTCAAAGATCTTTGTTATGTCAGTGTGAACAGGGAGACTTCTGGTTCACAACAATTAGTCGTATATACAGATTCAAAGGATGAATTAAACTTACTTATGGTAATAAAGCTTGATATTCTTTTTTTTACTTTTGAATTTTTGGAATCTTATTGTTCCTTCTGCACTTTTGAAATGATGGTGGAGGGTAACATTCAAAGTGGAAGTCGATATGGACCTTATATTGACCGTAATTTCTAATTCAGTATCTGTAGATGGACTATAAACAAAGCTTAACCCTAATTTAAGTTGTAATGGACTCATTGAATATTAATAAAACAATAAGTCTATGTTTTATTTGCATATAATTTGATATCTTATGTATTTTAGGCCTGGCACAGTGGTGCTGGAAAATGAGAATGCTAAGATAATCTGTGTTTTATTTATTGACACCACAGCACCTTATTAAATTCTTAAGAGAAGTGTTTTTTAATTAATGTGTTGCAGAAGAAGGTGAAAGAAGAAAATCATAAGGAAGCAGAGATGAAGATTCAAGTTGCAGTGGGATTTCGCCATGTTATTGATCTCCTTTCAATGGAGCAAAAGTTGCTAGTTGGTCACAATTGTTTTCTAGGTAACAACGGCATCCTATATTCTAGACAATCTATTTAATTTTATAGCACACTAAGATGATATATACCATTTCATGATACAGATCTTGCTCATGTCTACAGCAAATTTATAGGCCCTCTTCCAGCAACTCCTGAAGAGTTTGCTTTCTCTGTTAACAAGTGCTTTCCACACATTGTTGACACCAAAATACTCTTGAACACTAATTTTATGCTCCAAGAAAAGATGAAAAGGTCAAGAAAATCATTGGCCTCTGCTTTCACTTCATTTTGTCCACAAATTGCAGCTGGCTCCAGAAACACTGATCTAGGTTCACTCTCACACGTGAAGGTGGACATTGAAGTTGATGATTCAAGGTTTGTCTCTGCTATCTGTCTATAATAAATCCTGAACTGGTTATTGTGATTTAGGTTTACCAATCTAGTGGTGCAAAACCAGTGACTTGCAATTCTTTTACAATTGAGTTTATTTTTCAACTATTAGTTTGTGTATATTGTAGTTTTACATTTTCAACAGTATTCATACATGACATGGCTGTTTTCCTTTCTTTTATTCTTTTTCTGATATCTGACCCCAAAATGCAAAGTTTATAAATATATAACTATTCACATTTTTTTTCTTCTTTTATTTGAACATATTGTTCAATGGTAGATAACTTTTTAATTTCTTGTCTGGCTTTTTGTTGTCTACATATCTGCACCTAGCTTGAGGAGTTTTCTTAAGAATTTGGACAGCCAAGTCAAAACATTTAGTGTCCTATTTGTCTTAAAGTACTAATGTCTTGCATTTCATATGTTGTTCAAGCTGTCTCTCTAGATAGAGGTACTTTTCATACCAACATTAGACATGTATTTGCAGATCATCCAGCTGGAACCCTGGAGGCAAGCATGAAGCAGGATATGATGCTTTCATGACTGGATGCATCTTTGCCCAGTTATGCAGTGATTTAGGTATCGATTTTAAACTCCACGAATCTACAAAACAGTTAGCCCTCAATGAGAAACTGCAGAAGTACGTGAATCGTCTATATCTTAGTTGGATGCACGGGGACATTATTGATCTAAATACCGGTAATAAGGTTGCAGATTCTTCACCTAGCCACAGCCTCAAGAAGCGGTACCCAAAAATTTTGTTTGAGAACATTGTTATTATTTGGGGATTTCCTTCTAAGCTGAAGGCAAATGAAGTAAGAGAGTGCATATCTAAAGTATTTGGACCGAATTCTGTAGTTTCTGTCTTCCACTTGGATGCAACTGCAGCATTTGTTCAGTTTAGCAAAACTGAATTTGTTTCTGATTTTCTTCTAGTGAAGGACACCTTAGAGAGAGGTGATGGTGCAATCATGGTTTTGCATCCGCTGGCAAAACTTTTGGAAGGTGGAAATACATGTGCCGCGAATTATGATACTTATAAAGAAATATGTGGTTCACCCTTATCAGAAGGTCTGTTTGCTGATCAGGCAAAGGCAGTTGGTATAAAATGGAAGACCAAATTGACAGAATACAAGGTAGCATTGGAGGGCGAAGAACATGGAAACCCAAGTGTACAAGGTAATGTAAATACAGCTATGAAGAATGTAGAAAGGACTAGGCAAAACACAATTGATCAGTTAAGAAATGCTCCATCTCGAGGGCATGTATCATCGTTTGAGATTGAGGATTCTTCATGTGTTGCAGAAGCTAACTCGTGATTTTGTACACGGTCAGCATGAAGATATAATGTTATATCAAATAACTTTTTTACGTAGCAATACTTTTTTGGGCTGGTATTGTATGAATTTAGAAAATGTAGCAATCTTAAAGGCATAATAGCGGTATGAAAATATTGATATATACCATTTACAAATTTTCTGAGATAGTTTTGCATATAAAAACCCTACCTGATAGTGTCTAGCAAGGATAATTGTAGCGTCCTTATTCTATTGAAAGTGACTCGCAATTCGCAAATCTGAAGACATTAATTGTACTATTAATCGTGACATTAACTCATTTTTATGAAATAATTTCTATCTTTCACTATGTTAGAAGTCCTCCTTTCAATTTGACAAAAGTAGGTGTAGTATCTTGGGAAAAGTTCATAAATTTAAATCCAACAAATATTATTGCTCGACACAACACTTGTAAACTTGGGAAGCAATGGGCTCAATTTAAGTTGGGAGTCATGTATTGCTATTTACTTTAACCATACGTTTAATTTGAGAAGCTGTATTTTTTGCTTTTACTTTTAATTAATAAAACTGCTATTTTGTTTTAACTTTTTTTTGTTTTAATTTTTTTAGGAAGAGTGAAAATAGAAAACAATAAAACTTGTTTTTGCTAGTTCTTATATCAATTTTCGGGAACAAAAAATAAATAAGATGGTGTTTATGAAATTAAAGGAAAAATAGAATATGAAAGAAATTTCTCATAATGAATACGTGGCTTTCTTATGCTTTGAAGTTTGAATACTTGACAATACACAAGCAATACCTGCACACGTTCGTTAACAAATGTTTTTAAGATATTTAATAAAAAATGTTATCAAGATATTTTTTCCATCATTTTTAATGAACTGTTTTAGAATTTCTTAACTCGTGTCCCACTCGTTATAAAAAAAATACGGAATTAATTTACACTGTTTCTGTAACTTATCACGTGCTGCTCTTTCAAGCAGTAATTTTTTTTTTGTTAAGATTCTCTCCATTTTTTTTCTCTTTTTTTTTTTTTTTTCTATTACTATAATTTTGGAGATATAAATGAAATGGAGATATCTCATACCTAATCAAGAATATCAAATATTTTTCTAAAAACATGAAAATGGAGAGAGAAAAATAGAAAGGATCTTTTTCCATTAACTTTACACTTTACTAAAGTGATAGAGTTGTCCCATCCCATCATATAGGCATAGATAGAGACAGAGTTGCTTGTAACATTCATAGCAAAATTATAGATATTGTATCCATTTGTTTGTTTTACATGAAAAGATAATTATTTATCAAACATTTTAACGTAGAATTTATGATGGTGGTTAATTTAAAAATATATTATTAATTATAATCAATGATTCAAAATATATTTTACCTAATTTTGAACCAAATAAATGTATCATCTTCCCTTTCAAGTTTGAATCAGGAAACAATCCTAATCACTCATTATAGAAATTACTATATATATATATATATATGATAAAATCAAGTTTGTCCTTCTTTTATGGACTCCAACTATATTATTGTATAACAAGTTTATCCATCTTTTATAAAGTCCAGCTGTATCATATAACTACTCCAGTGAAATTATACTATCACAACGTCAAATTTTGTACATCATATTTAATACTTTCTACATTTATTCTCCATCTGTCATTTTTCTTTCTTTCTATACGTGTGTTTCAAAAGCGCTTCACATCGATTGAAAGGTACTAAATATATATTGTCAAAATAATTGTACACAAAGCATTATCTCATATAGGTAAATATGTGAATACATCATCAATATTAATTTATATAAGTGATTATAATTTGTATATTTTAATTAAGAGATAATCATCCATACATTATTAATATAAATTTTTTTTACACTAACAACCAATCATATTTTTTAATAGTGTTATGTTATTTGTTTATTTAATCAAATAACAATAAAATAAAATAAATTTAAAAATATGATTAATTGTCAATATAAAAAACTTTACACTAAAAATGTATAAATAATTAACTTTTTAATTAATATGATATAAGTGATAACCATTTATATATTTTAATTAAGATATTCAAGAATTCGAATCGAATCCTTAATCCTTATCTTAAATATGAAAGATATTAGTCATGTAAATACACCAACATGCCAAAGCTTTTATGGTGCATATTAAAATTTTCCGTCTTAAGTAGTGAGGGAGTCGGAGACAGGTCCGAGGAAGTTATAGTGCTAATTGAGAAATGTTTTTTTTTTTTAAAAAAAGAATTATGAAAATAAAAACATTCTCGTACAAATTTAACATATTAAAATGAATTAAAAATTAAAAAGGTATTAACATATAATTCATATAATAATAATTATCTATATATCTAATCATGCTATAAAGAGAATACTAAATGTATAACTGATTTTAATTTCTACTTTTTAATCAGTCATTATATCCTTTAAATATTAAAAAATAATTTTTATTTATTTATTTATTTTATTATTTATTATTTATTTTATTTTAAAATTTTAAAAGACACAAAATATCTCTTTTTCTACTAATTTTAATAAAGTTGAAATTTAGATACTTTATTAATTTTACAGACATATTAAATTTATACAATAATCTCTGTAAAACACTTGATTTATACATGTGGATACAAGATTTATATATGTTATAATTGATTTCAGTCTCTACATTTTTGGGGACTATTATATTCCTCAAATGTTGAGAAATAAATAAAAAAAAGAAACTTATGATATTTTTTTTAAAAATAATCACTTATAATTACCTATTCCATTATATTTTTTATTTATTTTTAATTTTTTAAATTTTAAGAGACATAAAATATCTCTTTTTCTGCTAGTTTTAACAAAGTTGAAAACTCGATGCTTTATTAATTATTTAATGTTATAGACATTAAATTTATACAATAATCTCTGCTTGAAAAATTGGTTCAATAGTGTAGGTGTGTTGTTGTAAATTGAGTTCAATTACTATGATAAAAAAAATGTTTTCCACAAAGAAGATGGAGGAGTCATATGCTAGTGTGCTACTATTCATGGGGTCCATTACTTCTTGTTTCCATACGAATGATTCCATGGGTTGTCTAATGACCGTTGCAAAGTTTTCATTTGTGATGCTTTTACGCTATTTGCTGCTTTTCGATGTCACATGCTCTGTTTTTTTCCTCATCTCACATGTTTGAATTTATGTAATCAATATTCATAACAGACATATACTTTTTCTTCTTTTTTTTTAAAAAAAAAATTTAAAGGCTTCCATTAATCATGTTCACCTCATTATATAGATAGATAGAATTTCAAGCCAGTGAATTCAAAACATTGTTTGTACATTAAAGTTAAACATGAATGCTTTGTAGGAAGGTTGGCTTTTATAGCAATTGCTCCAAATTATCTACATTCAATTAGTGATTAAATTTGATTTCTTTTGGGTATTTCTCTAGGAAGATAACCTCAATCAAAGATTTGTAAACTTCACTATCCTTGTATATCAGTCACATTAACATATGAATATTGTAGTTGGATATCCTGACTCAATGAGGACACTGGATTTATTTATTTATTCATTCATTTTTGTCCTCTAGACAGCTCAATCTTTTTTCCCTAATTTATTTCTTGGCGTTTTGGTCAATAATCCATAATGAGACTCAGAATTTGCCTCATATAACCGTTACAAAAGTCAATGGTATCTGGCTCCAGTCAATGCTCCCAATAATGCAAATTAAGGTATCATTGAATCAGTCACCAAATGTTCCTAACACAAAGATACGTTATGGAGCCTCTTGCCCTCAGCATAATCATTAACAAGAAATGAAACTTTTTGTCCAATTTTAAAAGGATGCAACCACTCTTATCCATATAAACAGTTGATTCTTTGATGATGAATTATTCAAAGTCACCAAAATAATTAACTACACATAAAACTTAGAGAGAGAAAATATCTCACTCGAAAGTGCTGAATACAATTGTTTTTTCCTACTATAGTTATGTACTTATCTCCAACCTATTGGGTCACAGTCTAACTTCACTCACGATACTGTGAATATCACTAGAGTGATTGTTATGCAAAGCAAACTTGAGAAAGATATAATATGACCAGAAACAAAGTGGATTTTGGTATATAGTATATACTAACTAACCACTAAGCTTTATATGTCTTGAATACATTATTGGCACAATGAAGTTCAATGTAATAGCTTGAACTCCAGTCAATGAACCATGGATTTCCCTATATGTCAAACTAGAACACCAAATGTCCAGAAAGAACTAAAGAATCAAATGAATAACAAATTCAGCATCTAACTAATTCAATCAATTTTGATCTCACACACAACCTGGCCAGGACAGACCTCTTCCTCATCAGCATCTGAGACAATCTCATCAAGACTCAAAGGCAGGGAAGTGGAAAAAGTAAGTGTTGGTTTCACTTTAGGCACCACAAGAGACACTCCTTGATCATTGTTGAGAATCTGCAACACCCTTCTCATGGAAGGCCTTTGAGCACTATCAGGGTTAGCACAACTGAGCCCCAAAAGCAAAAGCTTCCTCATTTCCCCTTCCTTGAACTCCCCATTCAACCTCCTATCAGCAGCCTCAATGATCCTCCCTTGAGAGTGCAAACCCCAAACCCAATCCACCAAATTCACCATCTTCTGCCCCTCTTTCTCAATTGGCCTCCTACCACATGCCACTTCAAGGATCACCACCCCATAGCTGAAAACATCAGTCTTCTCATTTGCCACACCACATTGGAGATACTCAGGAGCAAGGTACCCCATTGTGCCTGCAGTTAGTGTTGAAACAGGACTCTTGTCATGGTCCATAAGCTTGGCCAAGCCAAAATCCCCCAACCTAGGGTTCATGCTTCCATCTAGCAATATGTTACCAGCCTTAATGTCCCTATGAATTACCCTTTGCTCACACTCTTGATGCAAGTAACTCAAAACAGAGGCCAAGCCAACAGCAATGTTCACCCTATGAAACCAACTCAACACATTGTTATTATTAGTCCCACTCCCACCTTCACATTCTTGGTAAAGCACCTTGTCCAGGCTCCCATTGGGCATGAACTCATACACAAGCAACAACTCACCCTTTTCAACACACCATCCTAAAAGCTGAACCAAATTCTTGTGCCTCAAACCTGCTATAACAGAAAGCTCAGCCAGGAACTCAGTTCGCCCTTCATATTGCCTTGACCTTTTAACCGCAGCAACGGTCCCAGAAGCCTCAAACAAAGCCTTGTAGACCGTCCCAAACGAACCCTTCCCAATGACCCTGGAAGCATGAAACCCCTTAGTGGCCAACTTCACCTCCTTGTAACCAAACTCCTTGGGACAACACCCCGGAGCCCCCAAAGCAAAACCCTTGCGCCTCCTCACACCACGCCACTTTTGGAAAGAAACATAGCCCAAAACCACAAGCACCAAGCAGAAGAAAGCAGGAACCACAACACCAACACCAAGACCAATCACAAACCTCTTGCCACGGTTACCCTCGGTGGAGCTGGAAGCAACAAAAGTCGAGGGGCTCAAAGAACCGTTGTGGGGGTGCAAGTTGATGAAATCAGGTTTCTCAAAAGATTGAAACTCGAAGCTCCAAGTCATGAGTTGGACAAGGTCGGTGCTTCCTAGCGTGGAAGCGGAGAACCCCACGTAGAGGCTGTCGTTGAAGTAGTGATCAAGGTCAAGGTCAACGGCCAAGGAAGGGTTTTGAGGCTTGGAGGAGGTTGATGATGATGATGATGATGATGATGATGAGTAGTTTAAGTAGACATAGAGTTTTTTGTTGTGGGAATTGTAGAGAAGCCATGAGGTGATTATGGGGTTGGGAGTGATGAGGTGAAGGGTGGATTGTGTGGTGGTGTTGGAGGTGGAGAGTTGGAGAGAGAGGAGGGTTGGGGAGGGGTGGAAGAGGAGGGAGAGGGAGTGGGAGGAGTTGAGGAAGAAGGTGAGGGTGGAGGAGGAGGTGGAGGAGGTGGTGTTGGTGATGGAGAAGGAGAAGGTGGTGGAGAGGGAGGAAGGGGTGGTGGTGGTGGTGGTGGGGAAGGGGTGGTTGTAGAGGAGGGTGCCGGAGGAGGAGGCGGGGACGGGGGTGGCGCGGGTGAGTCCGACGAGGCCGTTGCGGAGGAAGGAGTCGCCGAGGAGGGTGATGTTGCGGAGGGGGAAGGAGGGGAAGGAGAAGGTGGTGTTGAGGGAGAGCGTTGGTGTGAGAAGGATGATGAAGAGGATGGTGAAGGTGGTTGCAATGGTGGTGGTTGGTGAAGACATGGTTGATGAATGTGAATGTAGAAACTAGAGAAGGAATGAAGGTGTTGTGTTGTGGGGTTTAAATAAGAGATGGGTGGGAAAATGGGAATACGTGGGATGCTAACGTTAACTGTTGTGGAAAGTGGTAACTGATATAAGTGGCTTCTTTGCCTCTTTAACCATCTTTTATTCTAGATTCAAAAAAGTACTTGAGCATTTCGTAAATTATACACAAAATTATTTAAAAAAAAAAAATAGATTAAATATATAACAGATAACTAAATTATATAACTAAATAAATAATATTTTAAAATAAATTAAATAACTAATTAAAAGTAAGTAAACAATTTTAAAATATTATTTTTAGATTAAATATTAATTAAAATAAGAAATTCAAAATAAATAAATAAATAAACATTTTAAAATAAACAAATAAGATTCTAACTGTCATTCGAATAAGCATAATTTTGTTCGCATATTATGTTTATTCGTGAAAGTTTATGTTTTCGAAAGAAATCATATTTGAATAAAAGTTTTATTTATTTAAATAATTTTTTTTTGTGTAAGTAATGATTTTTATTTAAATGTAAGTAAGTTTCATTCAAATACAAAAAGATTTTAAACATATATTGATTATTTTTGTGCTGATTTATGAAGAAATAAAAATGACTGGTGACAAATTTTGTACATACCAAACTATTGTCTTTATTTCTTTTCATGTATTTTTTCTCACTCCTCATTATTTCTTCGCTATCTCTTGCCTAAAAATCATAGTGTATAACTTATTAAAAGTTAATATATATTTTTCAATAAATTAGTATATAAATTAACAATCTTATTATAGATAAAAAGAACTCTAATGAACTTTTAATAAGAATTATAGTAGTGCTTTTCATTTCATTTTATGAAAAATAAACATAAAATTTATTTTTTCACATTTGAGGATAAACATTTTTTTTAAATGTTACTACTTTTGTTACTATGTATAAGACCTAATTAATTTAAAATTATTATTTTTTACATAAGATTTAATTCATATTATCTCATATATTAATTATTTGCATTAAATATAAACAAATCTATAATTATTGATATATCTTTTATTTTTAAGGATTTATACATTTTTATTCCTTTTTTAAAAATTTCTATTATTTTAATGAATAATGTAAAATTCAACAGCGCTGTGTTGTATGCAACAAGGTAGTTTACAATTTATCTTTCTTTTTTAAAAAAGCTGATTTTATGCAAACTAAGGAAATTAGTTATCTGTATGAAATTTTACTAATTCCATAACATATTTTCTATATTGTCCTTGTTATAAATATCAGAAGTAGTGCCTACTTAAAGATCATGCATTAAAGATAGGATATTATAAGGAAAGTATCATTAAATGAGACAAGAAATTGAAATTTGCGTATATTTAAGAAAAAATAGTTTTTTTTTTTTACTTATAATAAAAATAGAGGGAGTATGAAATTGTTTGTAATGATATTATATGATGACATTTTGATTCTATTTCAATTTTTACTTACCTCAGGTTTACTGGGACAATAGCTCAAAGCAGGTTTATTATGGTAATACCATCACGTCGGAGACAACATGGACTAGGCCAACAAGATAAGCAGTGGTCATGTACACAGGGGTTTTGATGCTTAGAATATTTTGTTTATCTTTTCCTCGTTTTGTATTACCTTAGAAAAACCATGATGCTTATCTTTGATTTTTTCCTGCCACTATATTAAAATAGCACAGCCTAGTTCTTATATTGAGGGCGGGGTGGTCAGAATAGCACCATGGTAAATACTGTTATTCTGGAGAAATTTTTTGTGTATAATCCAAAGAAAGGGAAGGGATGTTAATAACAAAAAATGCCTTTAAGACCTAGTTACTAACGACAAGTTTTGAAATCTTATATGCATTTACGACCCATTACGCGAAGTATGAAATTTATGGCTTTTTTTTTTTTTTTTTTATTATATATTTTTGGATAACTTGGTAGGTTACTGGAAATGTATAGGGGAAAATCAATGGCAAGTTAAGAAGGAATATTTATAAATTTTTTTTAAAATTAGGTTGTAACAAGTTGGAGGACTCTTGGTGGATGGGTAGCATGGTTATAAATTTTCTTAAGCTATGGATTCAATAAATAATTTTATAATTTTTAACAAAAAATAGTTCCTAGTTATTGTTTAAATGTGACAATGTGTTTTTTCAAATTATCCCTCCTTTTTGTGGGTTATCTTAGGGTGAGTTCGTTCCGCCTTTGACTGAATAAAAGAAATTTAATAATTTGTACATTTCAATTGTTCCATAATTTAATACACCTTTATAATCGTTATTTATCAAGAATGATGTGATATTTATTATCAAGTGATTGTTTCTCGAATATATTTATAAAAAATGATGCTTTTTTGTTTTGAAAAGAATATTTATATAATAATGATGATTTAAATATGTTTTAAGTTTCTTAAATTGTAAATTTATTTTTAGTTTTTAAATTTAAAATTGATGTTTTTATTTCTTATAATTTTAAAAGAAATTTTTTGTAATCCTTTTATTTTATTGAAAAAATTTGTTATAATTCTTATATTTAAATTTTGTTAGAAAATTTGTTAAATATTATTATATAAAATTTATTTATTGATGTCTTTGTTAATGAAACTATTATATTAAATATAGTAAATATTATAGTTAATATTGTATAATTATCTCAATCAATTACTTATATATATGTTATTGGTAAATAAGATACAAACAATAATTTTGATAACTATAAAAATTAAAAATAATATTTAAATTTGAAGGACTAAAAATAATATTATCTAAAATTTGAGAGACGAAAATTACATTTAAGTTAATAATTATTTTTGAAATACATTTAACATCTCCAAACTCTTTTCTTTTAGCACGTCTACTCTAATTGCTGATGCCATTATAGCATATGATCATCGAATATAGAAACAATTATAGAAGATAAAAATAAGAAGTTTAAAGATGTTCTCTGAAAATGTATCATAAGTAGAAGAGATGAGAAGAATGAGAAAAAACTTGCGAGCAATTATGAATTCTTGTGAGGAGAGAAATGAACTGAGTATTAATAAGATTTTAAAAAACCCTACATTAAATTACTATAATATCTCAAATGAATTAATTAAATAGAAGAGGTGATTCAATAAGTGATAGGAAATAAGATCCTAAACCTAAATATTATAAGTCTCAGTGAGTTTAAACCATCAATAAACGACATAGTTTTTAAAAAATTAAAGAGTACTCCTTTCAATTATGAATATAAGCAAAAAGTAATTAAATAAATCACGATATCTTAAAAAATTACTTTTAACATTTAGTTACACTATTCTCATTTAAAAAATAACCCAATTTCTTAAATTACCTCCTAGAACTTGATATTAAAAGTAAAAGGATTCATTAAAAATATAATTTGAATTAAATGAAAGAGCATTTATTACTAAAATTCCCGCTGAGAAATGAGCTGCTTTCTAATATAATATAAGTCAACATAGACAAACGAGGTAAAGAGCATTTCCTAGTTTATGGTGGCCCATAGTGTTCCATCTAATTATCATTCTAATTTGTAACATCCAAGTCAAAAGGCTTAACTACTATAGTAACACCGAGATTAAACACATACAGATGTAACTTGTAAGTAATATGATACTAATTATTACGATATTTCCTTCCATACTAAAGTTTCAAGTGCTGTTTAATTTCTAAAATACAAAAATTCTGCGCATTACATCATCTTAGGCAAGCACAGAACCTCACTCGACCCCAATATGATTATATGAGAGAGGAAATTAAAGAATGAAGCAGCAAAATACTTCAAGCAAAGCATGCATTTTTGGTGGTGGCCAATTCTTCACCTTCTTCGGTTATCCCTGTATGTGTCTTCACTTTCCTTATCCTTTAAGAAGCCAAGGAAAGCAAGAAACCCAAAAAAGAAAAATCCACCAGACCAGTTGCCTCCACCCCCACCTCCTCCACCTCCACCATCGTCGTCGTCACGAGGCGGAAATCCAGTTCCACCGTCGTCAAGTTGTGGTGACTTCTCCTTGCCTGAAAATTGAATTGAAAACCATGATGTGTAATCTAAAATATGTTTTGGAAGAGTCTATATGTAACAAATAACATTGATATGTTTCATAAGGTTTTCATGAGTAAAACAGAAAAATGAAGCCAACTTTTTTCTGAAGAACTTGCTCAGTTTTCCTTGTTTGAGGGTACTTCTTTTAGAATGAACAATAGGTACTTAATTATTTGTTAAAAATGGACAAATCATTCCAACAAATGGAACACAGGAAAATTGCAACAAGGGAAATGCCCTGACTAAAAGGACTTAGGGTGTGTTTGTAAAAAAAGTTAAGTTCAGTGTAACAAACGTTCACTCCAATGAGACAAAAGAGTTGCTTCTAAATTTGTGCATTGGAACAAATGAAAGTCTGTTTAACACCTTCCAAATGGTAAACCAAACGCACACTTAACAAATCAATAATGTTGGTCATCAGCATTTACCAGGAACATGAGTAATTGTAGGAGCCTGGCGAGTAACAGTTTGAGTTTGCTCTGCACCACATCTTGCATTCTGCATATGTCAAGGAGATTAGTAAAGAGAGTATTGTATTTTTTTAATTATTTAGAACATGTGTTCAATTCTAAATATTTGGGGAAAATAATAGCATATAATTAAAATATGTTCTTTTAATTTAATAAAATGTAATAAATTTTTTAAAGAACATGAACTTTAACTGATTTGGAAAAAGATGGTAAGTAATTAAGGAAGATAAATAGTATCGAACATGTATAAGTATTAATTACAAAAAATTAATTTATATATATAATGAATTTATTTTTATCAATTAAATGAATTATTTTTTTTATCTTGATAAATCATATAATTGAATTTTACATAAGAATAAAAATAATATTGTACAAGCATTTATATAATTAAATAATTAAATTAAAAGAGATATAGACTTACTGAGATGTGTATCACATGTCATAGGTTTAAAAAGGAAAAGAAAAAAATATTTTGCTATATTTGGTGGTCAAAGGAAAAGGAGGGATTCAAACTCTTAGATATGTGAAGTGATTGAAGCATTTTCCTATGTGAAATCATTGATGAACCCAGAAACCCATGTGACTCACTCGTGTTTCAGACCCACCATGTCACCAAAGTACCATTCAAAACAAAACTTATATTATTACAATTTACAAAGTACAAACTACATGTCATGCTGCACATAGCCGTTATAGATGTGAGACTCATCATTTCAACATTAATTAATTAACATTATATAAGATTTTTTTTTTAATTTTCATTTACACACATTTTAAAAATATTCTCAAAATTAGAAGAAAAAAATTAGCTGATGAATGGAAAGGCTAGCTATATCTAGTATGCCATGTCTTAAAACATGAATTCATATATAAACTTTATAAAATTAATTTGTAATATAAAAATTAATTTTTATTTATATTCATTATTATGATTATCTTATTATTAGTTGGCCAATACATTTCTTATTGAAAACAAAAAATCTTTAAGCGTAGAATTTGTAAACTAGACATTTGTTAGTGTTTTGATAAGGGTTCAATAATAAATAATCTGATAAATTTAGTAAATATTAATAATTATTATTTATTATAATAAATTTTAATATAATTTTTAAAATATAAATTTAGAATTTAACTAAAGTTTTAAAACTGACTGACTCATAAGATTAAATTTTATATATATATATATACACTATTACAAATGAAATGATAGATTACAAATAATAATATGAATTCATTACAAAAAATGTTATATATAGTGACATAAAAAAATGTCACTATAGGTACAATATATGTAGGTATATATCTATTTGACATATAGTTACATATAATTTTAGTGTTGATTTTGAATGAGATTTAACAATATATTTTGTGTATCACTATAACTTATACTTATATTTTTAAACAATATACTAACATATATTATATTTATTGTGTAGGTAAAAGTAATTTTTAGTGACATATATTATATTATTATAGATTATATGATAATTTTCTTGTAGTTGTACTAGTAAGGCCATTCGGCCACCCGGTTCGGCCACTCGGCCACCTGATAGCCGACACCCAATCGGCACCTGAATGACCGAACCAGGTGGCACCAAAGTACCATTCAAAACAAAACTTATATTATTACAATTTACAAAGTACAAACTACATGTCATGCTGCACATAGCCGTTATAGATGTGAGACTCATCATTTCAACATTAATTAATTAACATTATATAAGATTTTTTTTTTAATTTTCATTTACACACATTTTAAAAATATTCTCAAAATTAGAAGAAAAAAATTAGCTGATGAATGGAAAGGCTAGCTATATCTAGTATGCCATGTCTTAAAACATGAATTCATATATAAACTTTATAAAATTAATTTGTAATATAAAAATTAATTTTTATTTATATTCATTATTATGATTATCTTATTATTAGTTGGCCAATACATTTCTTATTGAAAACAAAAAATCTTTAAGCGTAGAATTTGTAAACTAGACATTTGTTAGTGTTTTGATAAGGGTTCAATAATAAATAATCTGATAAATTTAGTAAATATTAATAATTATTATTTATTATAATAAATTTTAATATAATTTTTAAAATATAAATTTAGAATTTAACTAAAGTTTTAAAACTGACTGACTCATAAGATTAAATTTTATATATATATATATACACTATTACAAATGAAATGATAGATTACAAATAATAATATGAATTCATTACAAAAAATGTTATATATAGTGACATAAAAAAATGTCACTATAGGTACAATATATGTAGGTATATATCTATTTGACATATAGTTACATATAATTTTAGTGTTGATTTTGAATGAGATTTAACAATATATTTTGTGTATCACTATAACTTATACTTATATTTTTAAACAATATACTAACATATATTATATTTATTGTGTAGGTAAAAGTAATTTTTAGTGACATATATTATATTATTATAGATTATATGATAATTTTCTTGTAGTTGTACTAGTAAGGCCATTCGGCCACCCGGTTCGGCCACTCGAAATAAATTCAAATTTTAAAAATTAATTAAATAATTAATATTTGGTTAAAATACTAATTTGGTCTCTTATAATATTTTAAAGTTTCAATTTAGTCTCACTTTAATTTTTGGTTTCAATTTAGTCTCTAATAATTTATATGCTGCTAAGTTTGATGAGCTTGTCTGTTATTGCTCTCACTACCATGGTGAAGGTGGTGAAAGGGCTAAGTGCATTAAGTTCGTGAATGGCCTTCATCTTGAGGTGAAGGCAGCAATCAATTATCAAGAGATTTATCACTACTTGACGCTTGTCAACAAGTGTAGAATCTACGACCGTGACAATCGTGCGCATGCTACCTTCTACAAGGGAAATGGTTATGTTCGTGATGGAAGATTTGGCGGTCAGAGTAGGAGTAAGACTTACTCCGCTCCTGCCAAGTTTCAAGGAAATCATGCTAGAAGTAGATCTATTGTTGGAAACTCTTTCATGAGTGGTGCTACTAGTATAAGAGGCTCTGTTTCTACACCTACTAGTCAATGCAAGAAATGTGGACAAAATGGGCATGAACACTATAATTGTCCTTACAAGGAGATAACATGCTTCAACTGCAATGGCAAGGGTCATATTAGTACTCAGTGTCCACACTGCCAAGGCAACACATGATAGGAACAAGAGCTAGTTCTCAACCTAAGCGTCCAAAGACTATTGGAAGAGTATTTTCTCTTAGTGGTGCCGAAGCTACTCAGTCTGATAAATCTAATACAAAGTATTTGTTTCATAGCTAAAAATCCTTTTGTTGTACTGTTCGATTTTGGTGCAACCCATTCTTTTATTTCTCTTACCTATGTCCGAAAATTGAAATTGTCAGTGTCTTGTTTGAGCTATGATCTAGTTGTAGAAACCCCCACAGGTGGTCCTATAACTACTTCTAGTATTTGTCTTAAATGTCCAATTGTTATTTCTAAGAGGCAGTTTCTGGTTGACCTTATCTGTTTGTCTCTTAGTCAACTCGATATCATTCTTAGAATGGACTAGTTATCTTCCAATCATGTCCTACTAAATTGCTTTGAAAAATCCATATCCTTTGGTGAGAGTAAGTATGCGGAGGTTTTAAGTTCTAATAAAATAAAAACTTATTTAAAGGAAAATGAAAAGGTTTACATGCTTCTTGCCTATTTGACACTTGAGAAAGACCATGAGCTTAGTGAGATTCCTTTAGTGAGTGAGTCTCCTAAAGTTTTTCCTAAGGACATGTCTAGCTTACCACTTGAGAGAGAGACTGAGTTTTCCATAGACTTAGTACCTAGCACTGCACCCATATCTATAGCACCTTATAGAATGTCCTTAAGGAGTTAGCTGAACTCAAGAAACAAATAGAAGAGCTTTAGGAGAAATAATTCATTAGACCTAGTGTATCACCTTGGGGAGCTCTTGTGTTGTTGGTTAATAAAAAGGATGGAAGCATAAGGTTGTGTGTAGACTACCGTCAGCTTAATAAAGTTACCATTAAGAATAAATATCCCTTGCCTAGGATAGATGACCTTATGGACCAACTAGTTGGGGCTTGTGTGTTCAGTAAGATAGATTTGAGATCAGGATACCATCAAATTCGGGTGAAGTTTGAGGATATCCCAAAGACTGCTTTTAGGACTCACTATGGACACTATGAATATTTAGTTATGCCTTTTGGTGTGACTAATGCGCCTGGAGTATTCATAGATTATATGAATAGGATATTTCAACAATATCTTGATAGGTTTGTAGTAGTCTTCACAGATGACATCCTTGTATATTCTAAGACTAGGGAAGAACATACCGAGAATCTTAGGATAGTGATGCAAACCCTTAAAGATAAGCAGCTTTATGCTAAGTTTTCTAGGTGTGAGTTTTGGCTTAATAGTGTAAGCTTTTTTGGGACATGTGATCTTTAAGGGAAGGATAGTTGTAGATCCTTCTAAGGTAGAAGTGGTACTTGAGTGGAAAGCATCTAAGTAAGTTTTTGAGACTAGGAGTTTTCTAGGACTAGTTGGGTATTATAGGAGGTTTATAGAGGGTTTTTCTAAGTTAGCCTTACCTTTGACCAAATTGACTAGGAAGAACCAACCTTTGGTGTGGGACTCTAATTGTGAAGAGAACTTTCAGGAGCTTAAGAGGAGGTTAACTAGTGCCCTTATTTTAGTGTTACCTGACCCTAGTGAAACCTTTGTAGTGTATTGTGATGCCTCTAAGATGGGTTTAGGAGGGGTGCTTATGCAGAAGGGAAAGGTAATAGCCTATGCATCTAGGCAATTAAAAACCCATGAACAGAACTACCCTACCCATGACCTTGAGTTAGCTACAGTAGTATTTGTTCTTAAGTTGTGGAGACATTACTTGTTTGGGTCTAGATTTGAGGTTTTTAATGACTATAAAAGCCTTAAGTACTTGTTTGACCAAAAGGAATTGAATATGAGGCAGAGGAGATGGTTAGAGTTCCTTAAGGATTATGGGATGTGCCTTCGGAATCACGTAGTAAGGCTTCCCTCCCGAATGACCCCATTCGGCCAAGGACGTGCCTTCAGAGTCACACAAAAA